TTTTCATAATACCATTCGAATTATCACGAGTTGCAATACGAAATGATGTTAAAAATGGCACACCAAAATTTTTAAAATACACATGTTTATTAAGTCCAAAACATGGTCGTTCATTAGTACATTCTAATTTACCAAATAATTCCACATCCAGTGCAGCATAGATAAAGAAAGGAAGAAAAAAATAGAAGACTTAAATGAGAAAAGAAACAAAAAAAAGACATGTTGTATTATCAAGATTGAAATCATAAGTTCATTTACCAAGTTTTCAACGTAAGGAAGAGCTTGTATAACAATATTTAATAAAGCTCTTATACCTTTTGCCATTTTAAATAGTTTTAATACTAAAATCATAGAAAAAGTTTTTCAAAAATTTAATATTTTCTGCAAAATTCTAATGTGTATTTTTGAATATTCGTGTAATTGTTATGTACTGATGATAAATATGTCATACTACTTTCTTTCATCTTTATAAGATTCAAGTAAACTTTCTAAAAAATGACCAAGTAATATTTATCCATAATAGTCTTAAAAATATTCATGTGATCTTCTCAAATCTTCCAAGATCATATCTTCCTTATAAATTACGTAGTAATTACGAACGACTCTTGAAGTTATTCAATGACAGAAAAATATCAAACTGACAACAAAGATTGCTGTGTGTTTATCACATATAGAACTAAGTTTATTTGATCTCGATAAATTTCAGACGGTTCTGACTTTGTTCTATTCTCGATATAACTTTATTTCTAGTATTTTTGACATTGATGAATTTGAAAAGAGATTTTTTACTCTCAAGAATAATTTCATTACCTCATGTAATTCTTAATACTCTCATAAGACGTATAATTGTTGGATTAATTGGAAGTATGTTCATTTTTCATTTTTTCTACAACAATATCAGATATTGATAAAATAACAATAACCATATGAATTTGATTCCATCTAATATATATATTTACAAGCAATTTACTATGTTATACTTTTCTTTAAAATAAATTAATAGTCCTAGTGTCAGTGCATGAAGAGCTATAATAGCAGCAATAATTAAATCAAAATATTTACTATTACATATATCATGTCAACGTCTTCTCCATGGTACATTATATGGTAATTCATGTTTACGACATCGTCTACGTTCAAATTCTAATGTACATTTAGTTAAATATGTTGTTTTTTCTTGACATTCATATTTAATACAAAAAAGTCAACAAGTAATAAAAATGAAATAAAATAAATTAATCTTGCTGTATTATAATTTCTTATTAGTTGCATATCAACATCAACAGTATCAATACCATTATACATCATTTGTACCCAACCATCTCGTCATGACAAAACAAATATACATAATAATGCCTCAGAAAAACAAAAGATTTCTTTTTTTGTGTTGCATAATACATACTTGCCCTAAATGATCAAAATTATGTTGTTGATTTTTCCAATGATGATCAAGCATTTCTTCAGATTGTTGTCGTATTGTTACATTATGAGCTAATGGACCTTCACAATAATAAAATTTGCCTTTGAACAATTAATGAAAGATAAATTAGATAATTATATTTATTTTGAATATTGCTGGTAAAAATTTTATCCTGATATATTATACTAGAATGAACTTTCAGCTTTTTCATAGCTCTTCTATGGTTTTTCTAGCAAAGTCATTGAAAAGGTACAGACTCGGTAGGAATTTCTAATTTAATTTAGACAGTTGTACGCAGCTTTTGTCCGAACAGATTGAATATCGTTTTTATTCATTTTTTTCAAATTCAATAGGTAAAATCTAAGGATATATGTGTAGGGTTGGCTATGATTGAATTTTAAAAAAATTATTACGATCACAGTACTAATCCATTCGGATTCATTTACTTGTACACTATTCAAGCCATCACATTTAACATATACTCCGAAATAAAGCTGTCGATACCTTTCTGCATTGGTATAAAAATAAATTTGACGTGATTTCCCAGTATACCAAAATTAATTAAAACAATGTGCAACATATAATTACAATATGATCAATAGGTCTTAATGATGACATTAATGCTTGTAAAACAAGTTTCAGACCAGATGCTCGATTTATAACTATAAAACAAAAACTTCAATAATACAATAAATAATTTATTTCAACTAGCCTCTCAATGGTCGTAATGTCCTTAATAGACGAAAACCTCTCAGCATAACAAATATACATGTTGCTTCTTCTGATTCAGTATTTAACGGTATTACTGTACTCCAATACATTGTAGTAAGATCAACAATCTATATTATAACAACGAAACCATTCCTAATATTTCATCTATTATGTAAATAAGTATCTGATCCAAGTATAAATCCACGAGCAATAACTTAAATCATCATTTCAATTCTAAATATTATTGTACAAAAAATTTTTGTCATATTTAAGAAATGTCGTTCCTAGAAATAAATACTTTGACGTTTGTTTCTTTTTTTAAATAAAAAAAAAATTTCTAACATACAAAACTTGTTACTGAAAGTAATGGACACTCCATGGTAAGTGTTATACGATTAAGACCAATAAAAAATAGACTTAAATGATGAAATGATCTTTTCACAACTAAACATTGCAATATTTGACGAAATCTAATATATGTATCAATTGAAGTTATAGACATTTTTTTTTGTTTAATATGAAAGTAATATTTTACGGATTTTCTGATGAGAAAACATACAGGGAATAATTTTTACGTTTTTTCTAATATTTACATAAACTGACTTGCACATAAACAAGCTAAATATATTTCACAGATCTGAAATTAAAAAAAAAACAATTTTAGGTCAAGAACGTACGTATTGTAAGGTTTTTTTTTCTTTTATCTTGCAGGATATGCAATGGACTGTAATAGAGAGGCTATGATGAAATTTTTAAAGGAGTCAGTAGTCCAAGTCTGATTAATAGAATATACTATTGCAGTTACTGAATTCGTCATATCTCAGTGTCCGACATGAGTCAATTTTTTGTTACTCAACCCGAGGTCGAAAATATTTTTTTGTCAAGAAAAATGAGTTTGTTTTTCACAGATGAACAATCTTTTTCGTGTATCTGTCTGAACTTTCTCAATATTCGAAATTATTATCTCATCGGAAATTGCCAATTGTCTTATAAAAAGTTCGAAATCGACCGACTGTTAGTGACCCGACCCGATCCGAGGTCTGACTCAACCCGAGTCAGACACTGTCGTATATCTTGTCAACAACTAATGTTTTATAGTACGTTAACTATGTTAATTAACATATGAAAGTGATTATTAAAAAAAAAGGCGATCATATAAATCTTAGTAAAAAATATTCGATTTACTTCCAAATTTGAGGTAAATCAAACTCAAAATAGATCAGCAGATTTCAAGCTCACTCAGCGAGTTACAGGTGTATAGAAAATATCGGACTTATAAAAATACCTCCTGATGATACCTTGTATGAATTATTAAAAAAACGCGTTCTATTCAACATAAAATTCATGAATTAATATATAAAAGTAATATAATCTATTCATGACAAATTGAATACTTACTCCCTGTTGTAATTGACTTTCATTCTGTGTTGTATCAAGTTAAATATCATCTTGATTATTAATTATTAGTGTTGTTCTTATATCCAAATATTTATTAACATCTTTTCCAGTAGAATGACTTCAATATGAACTACAATCATGTTTTGATATTTCTTTTCGATTGATTAGATAAGTCAAATTATTAATTGTGAATTGACGTTTTATAGTCATATGTGAATTATTTATACGCTGTTCGAGAAATTTTTCTTTGGAAATAACAGAACATTTTGAAAATGATGATTGATAAAAATTTGTTTATCGTACAGAATTTAATAAATATTCTTTTTTGTCACTATTATATATTCGATGATTATCATTATATACTATTTTTAATGAATTATTTTCACGTAATTTATGTTGAATTTTTGGTAAATTATTAGTAGAATTATTTTTTATTGAAGACATAGTTCGACTTGATAGAAAGGATAAAGATACTTTCGAAGATTCGTTTCTCATTAATTGA